CCATCGTCGTTGTCGTCGTCGTCGTGGTCGTCGTCGTGGTCGTCGTCGTTTTCGTCGATGTCGTCGTCGTCGGCGTCCTCGTCCTCGTCGGTCTCGTCCTCGACCTCGTCGCCGTCATCGTTATTGTCGTGGTCGCCGTAGTCATCGTTATCGTCGTCGTCGTTATCGTCGTCGCTGTCGGCGTTGCTGTCATCGTCGCTGTCGTCGTTCTCGTCGTCCTCGTCCTCGCTCCCGTCGTCCTCGTTGTTGACGTCGTCGTTGCTATCGTCGTCGTCGTCCTCGTTGTCGTCGTCGTCGTCGTCGTGCTCGTCGTCGTCGTCGTTGTCGTCGTTGGTATGTTCGTTGTCGTCGTCGTTGTCGTCGTCGTTGCCGTCGCCGTCGCCGTCGCTGGCGTCGTTGTCGTGTCGTCGTCCTCGTCCTCGTCGTCCTTGTCCTCGTCCTTGTCATCGTCATCGTTGTATCTTCGTCGTCGTCGTCGTCGCCTCCGTCGTCGTCGTCGTCGTCGTTATCGTCGTCGTCGTGGTCATCGACGTCGTCATCGTCGTCGTCGGCGGCGTTGTCGTTTTCGTCGTTGTCGTCGTCGTCGTCATTGTCGTCATTGTCGTCATTATCGTCGTCGTTGTCGTTTTCGCCGTCGTTGTTGCCGTCGCTGGCGTCGTCGTCGTCGCTGTCGTCGTCGTTGTCGTCACTGTCGTCATCGGCACTGTCGTCATCGTCGTTGACGTCGTCGTCGTCGTTTCCGTTGTCGTCGTGCTCGTTAACGTCGTCACACTTGTCGTAATCGTCGTCGCTATCGTCGTCGTCGTCGTCGTCGCCGTTGCCGTCGCCGACGTCGTCGTCGTCGTCGTGGTCGTCGTCGTCGTCGTCGTCATCGGCGTTGTCGTTGTCGTTGTCGTCGTCGTCGTTTTCGACGTCGCTGTTGCCGACGTCGCAGTTGCCATCGTCCTCATTGTTATCGCCGTTCTCGTCGTCGTTGCAATCGTCCTCGTCGTTCTCGCCCTCGCCCTCGCCCTCGTCGTCGTTATCATCATTGTCGTCGTCGTCGTTGCCGTCGACATCGTCGTCATCGCCGTCGTCCTCGCTCTCGTCGTCGTCGTCGCCGTCATCGTTCTCGTCGCCTTCGTCGTTGTCGTCGCTATCGTCGTCGTCGTCGTCGTCGTCGCCGCTGCCGTCGCCGACGTCGTCGTCGCCGTCGCCGACGTTCGTGGTCGTCGTCGTCGTCGCCGTCGTTGTCTTCGTCGTTTCCGTCGTTGCCGTCGTCGTGGCCTCGCCGTCGCCGACGTCGTTGGCGTCCTCGTGTTCATCGTCGTCGTCGTCCTCGTGCTCGTCTCCGTCGTTCTCGTCCTCGGCTACATCGTTGTTATTGTCGTCGTCGTCGTCGTTATCGTCGTCGTCGTCGTCGACGTCGTCGTCATCGTCGTTGTCGTCGGCGTTTTCGATGTCGTCACGGTTATCGTCGTCGTCGTTATCGTCGTCGTCGTCGTCGTCTTTGTCGTTGTCGTCATTGCCGTCAGTGTCGTCGTTGTCGTTATCGTTGTTGGCATCGTCGTCGTCGCTGTCGCCGACGTCGTTGGTGTCGTAGACGTCGTCGTCGTTGTCGACGTTGTCGTCGTCGTTGCTGTCGTCGTCGTCCCTGTCGTCGCTTGCCCGTCGCTGTCGCCGACGAGGTCCTCTTTGTAATCGGCGTCGTCGTCGTCGTAGTCGTTGTCGTCGTCGTCGTCGTCGTCCTAGTCCTCGTCGTCCTCGTCGTCGTCCTCGTCGTCGTCGTCGTTATCATCGTCGTCGCATCATTGTCGTCGTCGTCATCGTCGTTGTCGTTGTCGTCGTCGTTTTCGTTGTCGTTATCGTTCTTGTTGTCGTCGTCCTCGTCGTTGTCACTGTCGTCGTCGTCGTCGCTGTCGTGGTCGTGGTCGTCGTCGTCGTCCTCGTCTTTCACGTCGTTGTCGTCGTCGTTGTCGTCGTCGTCGTCGTTGTCGTCGTCGTCGTCGTCGTCGTCGCCGTCGCCGTTGCCGACGTCGTCGTCGTCGTCGTCGTGGTCGTCGTCGTGGTCGTCGTCGTTTTCGTCGATGTCGTCGTCGTCGGCGTCGTCGTTGTCGTTGTCGTCGCCGTCGCCGTCGCAGAAGTCGTCGTCGTCATCGTTCTGGTCGTCATCGTCGTCCTCGTTCTCGTTCTCGGTCTTCTCGTTGTCGTCATCGCCGTCGTTATCGTTGATGTAGTCGTCGTCGTCGTCGTCGTCGTCGTCGTCGTCGTCGTCGTTGTCGTTGTCGTCGTCGCCCGCGTTGTCGTGGTCATCGTTCTGGGCGTCATCGTCGTCCTCGTTCGTGTCCTCGGTCTCGTTCTCGTCATCGCCGTCGTTATCGTTGATGTAGTCGTCGTCGTCGTCGTCGTTATCATCGTCGTCGTCGCCGTCGCGGTCGTCGGCGTCGTCGTCGTCGTCGGGATCGTCATCGTCGTCGTTTTCGTCGTCGTCGTCGACATTGTTGTTATCGTTATCGTCATCGTGGTCGTCGTCGTGATCGTCGTTGTTAGCGTCGTCGTTGGTGACGCCGTCGTTGTCGTCGTCGTCGTCGTCATCGTTGTCGTTGTCGTCGTCATCGTTATCATCGTTGCCGTCGTCATCGTCGTCTACGTCGTCGTCCTCGTCCTCGTAGTTCTCGTCCTCGCCGTTGTCGTCGTCGTCCTCGCTCTCGTCGTTGTCATTGTTATTGTCGTCGTCATCCTCGTTCTCGTCGTCCTCGTCCTCGTCCTCGTCGTCCTCGTCCTCCTTGTTATCGTCATCGTTATCGTCGTCGTCGTTATCGTCGTCGTCGTCGTCATTGTTCTTGTTGTCGTTATCATTGTCGACTTCGTTCTCGCCCTCCTCGTCGTCGTTCTCGTCGTCCTCGTCCTCGCTCTCGTCGGGCTCGTTGTTGTCGTCGCCGTCGTCGTCATCGTCGCTATCGTCGTTGTCGTCGACGTCGTCGTCATCGTCGTTGCCGCCGTCGTCGTCGTCGTCTTCGTCGTCGTCGCTATCGTTTTTGCCGTCGTCGTCGTCGTCGCTTTCGACGCCGTCGTCGTCGTCGTCGTCGTCGTCGTCGTCGTCGTCGTCGTCGTCATTGTTCTTGTTGTCGTTATCGTTGTCGACGTCGTTATCGTCGTCGTCGTTCTCGTCGTCCTCGTCCTCGCTCTCGTCGTCCTCGTCCTCGCTCTCGTCGTCCTCGTTGTTGTCGTCGTCGTCGCTATCGTCGTCGTCGTCGTCGACGTCGTCATCGTCGTTGCCGCCGTCGTCGTCGTCGTCGTCTTCGCCGTCGTTCTCCTTTTTGCCGTCGTCTTCGTTGTCGTTGTCGTTGTCGTTGTCGTCGTCGTTGTCGTTGTCGTCACCGTCGCCAACGTCGTCGCTGTCGTCGTCGTCCTCGTCGTCCTCGTCGTCCTCGTCATCGTCGTCGTCGTCATCGTTATCGTCGTCGTCGTCATCGCTGGCGTCCTCGTCGTCGTCATCGTCATTCATAATGTGGTCGTCGTCGTTCTCGTCTTCGTCGTCGACGTCGTGGTCGTTGTTGGCGTCATCGTCGTCGTCGTCGTTTTCGTCGTCGTTGTTGTCGTTATTGTGATTGTTGTCGTCGACTTCGTCGTCGTTGTCGCCGTCGCTGGCGTCGTCGTCGTCGTTGTCGTCGCGATTGTCGTTGTCGTCATCGTCGTCGTCGTCGCAGTCGCCGATGTCTTTGTCGTCGTCGTCATCGTGGTCGTCGCCGTCGCCGACGTCGTCGTCGCGTGGAGGTCGTCGCCGCCGCCGTCGTCGTCGTTATCGATATCGATATCGTCGTCGTCGTCTTCGTGAACGTCTTCGCCCTCGTCCTCGTCGTCCTCGTCCTCTCTCGTCGTCGTCATCGTTGTTGTCGTCGTTGTTTTATTTTTATTACCGTCGTCGTCGTTTTTGTCGTCGTCATCGTCGTCGTCCTCTTCGAGGTCGTCGTCGTCGTCGTCGTCGTCGTTGTCATCGTCCGCAGCCACTTTGGCTCAAGCAGTGTCTGCTCGGGTCCGTGGCCGCCCCCCCGTGCGCGGGCTGCGCGGGGTGGATGGCCGAGTGCCCACCGCGCTCATGCGCTACCCGAGTGCCCAGCATTGGCCGCAGCATGGCGCCAAATTGGTGTACCTGATCAGGCACGCGGAGTCGAGGGAGAACGTCCGGGTGCGCCGCCGGCGCCGTCCTCTCGCGGCTTGCCTCGCTGTCCCTGCCACGGGGCCAGGACCTCTGCGCCGCCTCCAGGCTGCTCCTGTGCGACCTGGACGCGCCGCTGTCCGATGCTGGGGTGGAACGGGTGCGCAAATACGTGCGAGCGACCTTTCATCCGATGCTTCTGTGCAGTGCCATTTCGGCTGAGGAGCCCCTGGAGGGCGAAATCTACCTGCGCTTGGCACACAAAACACATCAGCATCCGAGCAGGCGTGGTAGTCCTTTCGATCGGGGGTGGAACAGGTGCGCCGCGCTCGGGAGCGCCCGGGCGGCGCGGACTTCCTGAGGCGCGAGGGCATCGAGCTCGTGGTGCACAGCTCCCGGCAGCGCGCGGCGCGCACCTGCCGCGAGCTCTTCGGCCAGGGCCTTGGACCCCCCGTCGTGGAGAGCGAGGACCTCGTGGAGCTGAAGCCGCTGGAGTACAGTCGGGGCGCCGAAGAAGGAACCCTTTTCGTTGGGGAGGGGCTCCGTGTTCCTTGAGTGTTTCACAGATTGCCTCAGGTTCTCCTTCTGTTTTCGATGGGAAGTCGAAGTTCAACTTATGGAAAAAAGGGGCCTCGTTCCTCATTTAGGGCTCCTCAGGTTAAGGCCCCGACTGTACCTCGTGGACTGGTCCTACCGGCGCCGCCTCGGGCGGTTCCTGTCGTGGCTGGCGGAGCGGCCCGAGGAGCGGGTGGCCGTCGTCGGCCACGGCCAGTACTTCCACCGGACTCTCCGCCGCGAGGGGCCCGAGCCCCGCAACCTGGAGGTCCGGAGGTGTCACTTCGACGCTGGCGCGCGAACCTTCGGCAGCCCCCACCAGACGCTCTACCTGCCGGGAGCCGCCGCTGGGTAGAGGGGCTTCCCGCCGAGGAAGATCGCGCGTTTTGTGCCCGTATTCGGCTGGCCACACAGATCTGGCCAACCCACTTCGCTTTCCAAGTGCTTCTGCGATTGCCCTCGCCAGCACGGCTGAGAGGCACTCTTGTTTTCCGTAGTGCCAGCCGTCTGTGCTACAACGTGAGTGGCATGCCCTCGTCGTCGTCGCTGTCATCGCTGTCGTCGTCGTCATTGTCGTCGTCGTTGTCGTTGTCGTCGCTGTCGTCGTCGTCGTCGTCGCCGTCGTCGTTGTCGTTGTCGTCGTCGTCGTCGCCCGCGTTGTCGTCGTCGTCATCCTCGTCCTCGTCGTCCCCATCCTCGTCCTTGTCGTTGTCATCGTAATTGTCGTCGTCTTCGACGTCATCGTCATGGTTGTTGCTGTTGTCATCGTCGTCGTTTTGTCGTCGTCGTCGTCGTCGTCGTCGTCGTCGTCGTCGTCGTCGTTATCGTCGCCGTCGTTGTCTTCATCGTCGTCGTCGTAGTGATCGTCGTTGTTGTTCTCGTTGTCGTCGTCGTCGTCCTCGCCGTCGCCGGCGTCGTCGTCGTCGTCGTTGTCGTTGCTGTAGTTGTCGTTGTGGTCGTCGTCGTCATTATCGTCGTCGTCGTCGTCCCCGTCCTCGTCGTCGTCATCGTTATTGTCGTCGTCGTTGTCGTCGTTGTGGTCGTCGTCGTCATCATTATCGTCGTCGGCCTCCTCGTCGTCGTTATTGTCGTCGACGTCGTCGTCATCGTTGTTGTCGTCGTCTGTCCTTATCGTCGTCGTCGTCGTTGTCGTCGACGTCGTCGTCATCGTCGTCGTCGCTGTCGTCGTGGTCGTCGTCGTCATTGTTGTCGTCGTCCTCGTCGTCCTCGTCCTCGTCGTCCCCGTCCTCGTCCTCGTCGTCGTCATCGTTATTGTCGTCGTCGTTTTCGTCGTCGTCGTCGTCGTTATCGTTATCGTTATCGTTATCGTATGTCGTCGTCGTCGTCGTCGTCGTCGTCGTCGTCGTCGTCGTCGTCGTTGTAAGCGCCGTCGCCGACGTCGTCGTCGTCGTGGTCGTCGTCGTCTTCGTCATCGTCGCGTCGTGGTCGATCTCGTCCTCGTCGTTCTCGTCTTCGTCCTCGTCCTCGTCATCGTTATTGTCGTCGTCCTCGACGTCGTGGTTATCATCGTCGTTGTAGGTGTCATCGTCGTCGTCATCGCCGTCGTCGTCATCTTCGTCGTTGACGTCTTCGTCGTCGTCGTTGTTGTCGTAGTCGTTGTCGTCGTCGTCGTCGTCGTCGTCGTCGTCGTCGTTGTCCTCGTTGTCGTCGTCGTCCCCGGGGGCCTCGAAGGCTTGCGGATGCCTCCAGAGGCCTCTGGAGATCTCCTGGAATTCTGGAGACCTCTGGAGACCTTCAGAGGCCGCCGTCGTCGTTGTCGTCGTTGACCTCGTCGTCGTCGTTGTGCATCTGAGACTTGTACCCCTGCAGCGTGATTGCCGCTTCTCCGCATTTTCTTGGTTCAGGCCAAGAGGAGTGGCCAGCCCATTGAATGGGCCAGCTCCTTTCGGAGGCGTGCCTTAGATTCGTTCGGGATTGCGCCGTCCAGCTTCTCCCCGGAGAGATCGCGCGCGACGCGGCCGTCGGTGTCCTCAGCTGGTACTGTGGCGGGTCGTTTGCCACAGGAGTTGGCGACTGCTGCTTGTTAGGGGTGGCACACGGCCGTTGTCGGCTGTGAGAAGCGCTTCGACGTCGGGGTGGAGTCTTGTCCTGCATAAGGGTCACTTGGCGCGCGGATTGGTCTTCTCATCATCCCCCTGCTCGTGCATGTGGGCTGCTGCGGGTGCTGCGCAGGCGTCGTACTTGGCCGCATTTGCAATTGGGCGATTTGGAATCAAGCCCCCAGCCTGGTGCCGTGGGAGGTCCTCAACCAGGAGGACTCGTTCTAGTGAAGTACCCGGGCGATCCCACTTGGCACATTCGTCTGGTGATTCAGGCAGTGGACTGGGAGACATGCTGGCGGTTCATCCTCACGCCGGACGGCGATTTGAACGTCGAGCAGCTGGAGGTCACTGAAGGTGGGGGCGTGGCAGCCGCCTGGACCTGTGGGCCGAACAGTGCCACTCCTCACGGGATGCACCTCGCGCGCGTGCACGGGTACGACCCGCGCCCTCCCGAGTCGCTGCTCGACGACGCCCTGTCCGAGACGGGGCCCCTAATTGACCTGGAGAGGGCGACGCTGGGGCTCGGGCCGCTGCCCGCGCCGCCACCGCCGCCCGAGGGGCTCGCCCCCGACAGTGGCGCTGGGCTGGCGCTGGCGGCGGCAGGCGGTGCAGAAACGCCAATCCTGGCCGACGGACCTCCTGCCACCCCGCCGCTCGGCACGGCGCGGGCGTGCGCCGAGTCCGCCGGCGGCCGTGAGAAGGGCGGGCGGGCGGGCGCCGCTGAACGCCGTTGCCGTGGCCGTCGGCGACGGGCGCTATGGGACCGGGGCCTGGGGCTGCCATTGCGCTGGCGCGCGTGGAGATCGGCCGCGAGGAGGGGGTCCGCAAGGGGCACGCGCCACGGAGGAAATGGAGCTGATCGACAGCGGGACGGACACACGCGCGACGCGGGTGCACTATGCCACTGGCTCGGGCGCGCGGCGTCGCAGTTGGAGGGGTGTCATGGAGGGCAGACTGGGCCGATCGAAAGCCCCAGGGCCATCAGTTGGTGCGTGAGTTTCCCAGCTCGCGGAGCCCACGGCGGCGCTCCACCCGACCGTCGCCGATGGCGTCGCGCCGCGAAGTTGGGCGCCACTGATTGGGGAGTGGCCGAACGCGAGTCCGCGATGAAGGCGCACGCCCGCGCAGGATGCCGCGACCAGGTGAACCTCGCTAGCCTCGCTGGCCCTGGGCGCCCGCGCAGGCGGGCACAGCTGATGAAATGCCACTATCGGGGGGAAATCAGGGGCGTGGATCGCCAGGCCTTCGGCAAGGGTGCGCTGCTTCGTGACGAACAGGAGATCGTGGGTGAAGGCCGCGGCAGGGGCGCGGTGATGTGCGCGCCCTCTCTCATGGGGCACGTTTCGAAGGAGCTGGAGGGAGGGGCGCCCGTGTCCAAGCAGACGCGCAAGGCTCGCGAGGAGCGCGAGCTGGCGCGCCCCGAGAAACACTGACCGAGTCGCGATCGCCGCAGGGGCCCAGCGGGCGGCGATTGAGCACTGGGCGCGCGAGGTTTGGCCTCCCTCGCGCAGCTGCGCCGGTCCTGCGCCGAAGCAACGCGCGGTTCGCCCGCTGACTGCCGCGACCGACCCTGGTTTTCGGTCGCAGAACGCTGAAGGTGGGCGCCGCCGTCGCCGAGTGTTCCGCGCGCTGAGAGAGCTCGCTGGAGGCGGGGGCCACTCGCGCTTGTTCCCGACGGCGCCTCGCCAGGGGGCGCCGCCCTCATTGCCCGCGAGTTCGCGGCCAACGGGGCGATGGGGATGGGCGGCCCGCCGAAGGGCCTCTACCCTTCTACCCCCTGCGACGAGGTGGTCAAGTCCACCGACTACCGCGGTGAGCGAGTGGGCGTTGATGCTATGGATCTTAGGCTCGTTTCTCGCCCGCCCGAGGGGCGTCGGCTCGCCCCGCTGGCTCGCCTTGCCGGCGGCGGGGGCGCGCTTGAGATCGAGTGTTTCTTGTGGTGAGTTAGTTTGGCCAAGTGAGGTTGCGGTGGAGATCGAAGCTTCGCTCAGCGCGCGGCGGCCGCGCCGCTGCGCCGAGCTGGTGGGGGCGCTGTTCAAGCGCGGGCGGGTCGATTTCAACGGCGGCGTCATTTGTGAATGCGGTGTTTTTTTGGGGCGCGGAAGGAGACTGGCGAGCGGGGACTTGGCGATCGACGTCCGCCCCTTCCAGCGCCCATTCTGGCTTCTCGATGGAGACGCCCTCACCTGGAGGGGCCGCGTTCGCCGATGTGGACCTCGGCGGGGGAGCGGGGGCGCGGTTCTCAGCGCTAGACCTGAAGGGCGCCTTCCACTGTGTACTGCGTCGAGATTCCTCTCCAGCTGAGGCGTTTCTCCGGCCTTCAGGAGGTGGGCGCCAAGAACCTGGGCCTCCCCAGAGCGGTGCTGGACCTGGCGGTGGGCGGTGCGCTCCAGCCCAGGTTCGCGGCAAAGCCGATGGGGTGGACCCGCGCTCTGCGCTGGGCCCAATTTGCCCGCTGCCGCATCCTGGAGCGGGCCTTCCCCCGCTGCGAGGTGGGGGGCCTCCTGGCCGATTACAGGGCGCTGCCCGCCGTCGAGCAGGGGGTCGCCGGGCCGTGCGTGGACAACTTCGCGTCATTGGGGGCGCCCGCGGCCGCCGCCAACGACCTCGCGGCGCGGGCCGCGGCTGCCCTCCGCGACGCGGGCGTGCAGCCCCGCGAGGGGGAGTTGGCGGCCCAGGAGCTGGAGGTGCCAGGCGCGAGGCTGCGGGGAGGCGCCCGAGCGAGCGCCCAGCCCGCGGGCCGCCGCCGCTGGCGTCTCAGGCTGGCGCTGGACCACGCCCTGACGCGCGACGAGCTGTCGGGGCGCGGGCTGTCCCCGCTGGTGGGCCACCTCATTTCTTGTGTGTCGCGCTTGCAAGCCTGTGGCGCCTTTTCTCGGAAGTGCCCGGGAGAGTGCCGCAATGCGTGGCCTTCGGTGCGCCGGGGGCTACGACGGGCCCGGGGCCTTCTTGCATTGCATGTCAGATTTCGGCGCCATCAAAGGTCTAGCTGCGCGACGACGACCGACGCCTCCGTACTGGGGCGTGGGGTCGTCGAGGCGTCTCCCCCCGCCGCATCATTGGATGTGCATCCTCCTCCTCCCGATTATCCTCCCCCCCCTCTCCTCCCACCTCCCTCCTTCTCCTCCTCCTCTTCCTCCTCCTCCTCCTCCTGCTCGTACCCCTCCTCGTCCTCCCTGCTCGCTGCTCCTCTTCCTTCCCTTCTTTTCCTCCTGCCGCTCAGATCCAGCCTTGCCGAGGGAGTAGGCTTCTGAATAGCGGGGCCGTGCGGGTCCTTTCAAGCCTTTTTTGACCTGGCTGGCAGGAGTTGAGATGCCCTATTCCTCTCCCCGCCCTCTTCGTCCTCCTACTCTTCCTCACTCCTGACTCTTTCTCTCCTCCTTACCCTCATTCCCGGTCACCTTTAACCCCTCCTCCATTCTCCATACTCCTCCTGCTCCTCCTCCTCCTCCTCCTCTTCCTCCTCCTCCTTACACTTCACTCTTGCTCCGTCCTCCCCCTCCTCGTCTTTGTCCCCCCCCTCATGCTCCTCCTCCTTGTTCTCCTCCTCCTCCTCCTCCTCTTTCTTTCTGCTCACTCCTCCAGGCTCTTCTTCCATCCTCCTCCTCCTCCGCCTCCTCCTCCTCCTCTTCGTCGCTCCTCGCTCGCTCTCGCTCCTCCGTCTCCTCCTCCTCCTTCCTCCTCCTCCTCCCCCTCCCCCTCCTCCTCCTCCTCCTCCTTCTCCTCCTCCTCCTCCTCCTCCTCCTCCTCCTCCTCCTCCTCCTCCTCCTCCCTCCCCCCACCTGGAGGAGGAAGGGAGGAGGGAGGCGAAGGGGGGGGGGAGAGGGGGACGCCCCCAGCTGCTCGTCCCGAGGACTTCGCTGGCCGCCTCATCGGCTCGAAGGGCTCCCGCATCAACGGGATCCGCAGCGCGACAGGCGGGAGGAGGGGGGAGTCAGGGACAGGCGCATAAATGGGATCCGCAGAGCGACAGGCGGGAGGAGGAGGAGGCGGCACGCGTCAGTGATGCCGTACAATCAGCACGGTTAGCAGGGACAAGCGACTCTCCAGGATTACTTTTGCATCCTTCCCCTTCGGCCCGTCCTTGGCCACTCTCGGTGGCCGCGCCCCGCTCGAAAATGGTGGACATGGCCTTTCAAGGCCCTTGCATCCTTAACGTGGATGTTAATCTAAAGGCTGCCGCCTCTGCCGCCGAGCCGACCCCAGAAGAGCTATGGGCTTTTGGTCTTCGGACGTAATCCTCCCGTGCCCATTTAGATCGCACTTCCTCGGCGCGCGCTGGGGGGAAGTGTCAGGGGATAGCCTGCTGGGACGGCGGCGGGGCTTTTCAGAAGCCTTCTCGCCTTTGACACGTTGCCCGTGTCGTCGGAAGAACACGTTTTTCACCAACCACGGCCTGCATGGGACCGTTTCGGCAGGGACTGGACGTCAGGCCGCTCGCCCGCCCCTCCCGCAGCCTGTTCCACTTGCACTGCCCTGGGAATGCGCTATTGGCCGTGCTCCAGGGCGCGCGCGGCTAGCGTTCCGGCGCCCACGGCGGTCAACGTTGCCATTGTGAGCAGGCGCGGATCGGGAAAGGTCAGACACATCGAAATCAAGTAGTTTTTGGTTACAAGATAAGACACGACGAGGATACATCAAATTGATCAGAGTAGGAACCCGTGATCATCCTGCATGCGTATGCGAGGTACACACCAACATTTTGTTCAATTAAGCAACGAGGTGTCACCTGCGACGGAGATGCAGTGTTGGATAACTGTAATGCTACGTCTGGACCAATTTGAAGGAACATGCCCCCACGTCGTGGGGGGAATCCCAAGAGCTGAACTCTCGTGGTGTGGGGAGCGTGGTCGGGGTTGCGGGAAGATTTCGGGCCAGGAATTGTTGCGCGCGGGTTTCCCAAGAACTGAGCTCTCGTGGGGCGGGGATGCCGGGGCGCGGTGGGGGCGGCATGCGGCGCTGCCGGGCTCGCCCGCGCTCTGGGGTGCCATGGCCAGATAATTACCCGGCGAAGTTGGATCTGTCATCGGGTGGCAGTTCGCGACTCTGCCCTTCTATTGGAACAGTTTATGATATTGTATATCCACGCCTCCTGATGCGCGCGGCGGTTAAGGTCGGATATCCATCCATCGCTGCGTTGCTGGAGGCGGAGATATGCGTCGCTCCCAGATTCTACGTGCTCAACGACTGGATAAGTGACGTGATCGCGATTGCTCGCTCGCTGGTGGCTGGCAGCCCAACAAGCGCGCAGTTGGCCGAGGTATTCTTGCGCCCGATCCATCAGCGCGCGCGCAAGTTTTTCGCTTTCAGCTACTCTGGCCGCGCGCGCTGATGACGCGGCAGTGCGCGAAGAGGCGGGCAATCGGGGCGAGGTGGCGGGGTCATGGCGAGGGCGGGCCAGGAGATGAAGGGCGCATTCCAACAGTGGCGACTTGTGGTTTCTGAGAAGACGGACCTCATCGCCACCCCTAGGGTCCCGGAGGGGCGCTGCGCTCGGTTCTACGACAGATTGGCCAGTCGACCACAAGGGGTCGGCCACGGACCTGGGAATTGACGTTGCCTCGGGCCGGCCAGGGTTCAGAAGGCGGGGCGAAGAGGCAGCGCGTCGGATCGTAGACAGAAGAGAGCTCTGAGATTACCGCGCTCAGGCCCCGGAGTTTGCCGGGCGGGCAACGGACAGCGGGCCGGCGGTGTTCGACCTCGGGGGTGTTGTGGGCGCCAAATCTCAGGAGGGAAAGAAACACACAGACACAATTAATCCTCGATTCCCAGAAAATATGGGAAAATATGGGAAGTGGGGGGGAAGACAGAAACCCAGAAAATATGGGAAAATATGAGGAATATGTTTATTTGTGTGTATTTATTTGTGTGTTCTGGGGCCCCTTCAAAATCCTGAGTGCTCCCCCGAGTCGCCTGTTGCGTGCGCGCCGTCGAGCAGGCGCCGCCGTCGGACGCACGAGGAGAGCGCGTCGCGCTGCGTCGGCGCCGGCTGCGACGACGGTCGACGACGACCCGCGTTTGGAACTGCCCGAAGGATTGCAAAAAAACCAAGGATTGCAAAAAACCGAAGGATTGCAAGAAACCCTTGGTCGAAGGATTGCAAACAACCGAGGGTTTTTTGCAGTCCTTGTTTTTTTTGCAATCCTTCGGAACCTGTTCATGAATGGCTTGCGATGTGATGCTGTTTCCAAAGGCTTCATATTCGCAGGCCAGTCAGGCAAGCGTGGACAGTTGTGTCCGCCATGTTCACGTGCGGGGCAAAGTCAAGTGGAGAGGGGTCGGAGCAGCAGTCTCGCCCGTCATCGCCGCCCTCCAGGAAGCGGGCTGGTCGTGCCAACGGCCAGATACTGGGGGGCAGAACGGAGTCGTGATGGTCAGCGGGTAGTTTGGGTATTTCCAGCATGCGGCAGTCCAGAGTATGAGCAAGTGGATGTCGCTCAAATGGCGTGTGAATTTGTTTATGACCTCGAAGTTCTGTTATGGCATGCGGCCGGCCAGTTCGAGGGCGCCGGCGATCCACGTCGCGTTGCAGGTTTTTGCAGGTCGCCCGCGAGTTCCAGAGGTGCGAGTCTGAGGATGTCGTGGATAATTGGGGCCTCGCGCTCGCGGCGCCCTTGGGTGGCCAGCGGGCTCGCGACGGGCTGCGAGCGCGAGGGTTGTCTGCGGGCGTCGCCTGCAGGCGCTGCGGCAGGGTGCCAGAGACGGTGGAACATTGGGCTTGGCAGTGCGATGCCAATCGCGAGCGTGAGAGCTGCGCCGCGAGTGATCATCTCATCCCAGAGCCTCAGCTACTTGTGGAGCCTAGTCTTTGACTTCGTGGGGTTTCCCCTGGCAAGCTCGCAGTCGCGTTGTGTGTTGATGCGTCGCGCGCGTCTCGGGGCTTGCTTCTCGCGTGGTGGCGGTGGTGGTCGTGGTGGCGGTGGTGGGGGGGCAGGGCCGCTGTCGTCTCGGGGTCCAGGGGCAATGGAAGTTCAGCGGCGTTCGGAGATGGCCCGGGGGGGCGGTTCACGAGCGATCCGCGTGGGCGGAGGTGCAGAGCTGGCGCGGCTATCCTTGAAACGCCTTTGGGATCCTCATCCCTTGAGCGGCGCGTGTCTTAGGGGGCCTCCGCCCCGCTTGCAAGCTGTCGCCAATCCGCCCCCCGTGCCGAGCAAGCTTCCCGCCCGGTCCGGGACTTGACAGCGCGCCCGCGAATTTGCATCCCTGACCACCGTCCTCTGCCCGAGGTTGGGGGGGGGGCGGGGAAGGGGCAAGTGGGTGCCTCCAAGAAAGCCAGTTCAGACATGTGGATCATAACCAGTCTAGGAGTTGCTAGACGTTCCAGTCTTGTTGATATCAGATGGGCTGCCCCCCATTTAGAGCGAAGACTTTAGCATTCATATTGTCCCGCGGCGTTTCTGGCCCCAGGGGGGCGCGGCTGCAGATGTCCTGGCCGCCAACGCTGCTGAGCGCGGTCGAGAGGTGGCCGCTGCCCATGGCCCTGCCGCTCGCGCTGGCGAGGTGGATGGCGCTGCGTGGTTGGTCCGCCACAGGGCCCGACGAGCTCTCCAGGGCGCGGCTCGGAGGGCACCAACTATACACCAACACCGATCCTGGCCAGGATCACCCTGGGCCCAGAATCGGTGTATATGCCTTCTTGCCCAAGGCAGGAGGGCGTATACACCGATCCTGGGCCCAGGGTGATCCTGGCCAGGATCGGTGTTGGTGTATGTTTGGGGCCCTCCTAGCGGCCGCGTGTGATCCCAGGGGAACAGAGTGGAGTAGGCCGTCCCTCCCCAGAGCCCGCATCAGTAGGACGATGGGAGCGCTCGCCCAGGCCCCTCCTCCTCCTCCTCCTCCTTCTCCTCCTCCTCCTCCTCCTCCCTCCTCCTCCTCCTCCTCCTCCTCCTCCTCCTCCTCCTCCTCCTCCTCCTCCTCCTCCTGGCGAGATTTGGCCATGCGACATGCGCGGCGAGATTTGCCGCCGCGTCATGGCCTGGATGCGGCCTGCCGGATACTGTGCCGCCCTCCCCCACCCTCTTGTTGATGCCGCCTTCGTTGCTCCCAACGCGTCGGGGGTGCAGGTCGCTCGGGTGGGCGGGAAGGTGTTTGTGGCGGCTTTCGTGTGCGCGAGAGTCGTCAGCTCTGGGCGCGTGGGGCGATTGGTCTAAAATTCTGCGTGCTTCGTGGATTATGCAGCGTCGTGGACGGCGGTCGTCTTGCCGAGCAGTGCCCTCCTGTCGGGCCCAAAAGAGGACAGCATAA